TTTCACACACCCGGCTCCCCAACCACCCCCCCCACGGCAGCCGTACGCAGCCCAAGACGACAGCGCGACGCCGCAGGGAGGGAGGGCGCGTGGTTAGACTCACGACAGAACAAGCCAGGGCCCGGCCACAGGACAGGGCTGGCAGTACCCCGCCCCAGCAGTCCACGCGCGGCGGCGGGGAAGGCAGCGAGCAGCGCTTCACCCCCCCCGGCTCTAACAGCTTAAAGCTGTCAGAAATAGGGGAACTGACTAGATTAAGCGGTTTCGGTATCGGATTAGGAAAGCTATTCGAGTAGGTTCATTTCAGGCATCGGCTGGAGCCAAGCAGCTGAGCTCTGGAGAGCGCGAGGACAGCAGGGAGGCCGATTTAACCGCCCGTTCTGGGACGGGCAGCTCAAGGCCTGATGTTCTGGGAAACACCAAACCAGCAGTTCCATAACCTGCGCTCCAGCCATCACGCTTCACCCTTGGGATGAAGTAAGGTGAATCATCGTACCTGATTGTGGAGAGGAGGGCCTGGTGCTGGCTCAGCACATGAGCTAGGAAAGCACTCTCAAATTTAGTGATTTTGCTGGGCTCCAGCTTGTCCAAGTGACCTCTTACACCAGCATAGATGACTGCAACCTGCTCCTCAATAGCCATGGGAACTGCAGAAAAGCAAGCATTCGTGCCATCATTAACCCTTACATCAGGACACATCAGCACTACAGAGGCCGCCTTTGAAGACCAACTGCACAAGGAGGACAGGGACCTGTTGGAGCGGGGCCAGAGGAGGGCTACTAAAATGCTGCGAGGGCTGGAGCCCCTCTGCTCTGAGGCCAGGCTGGGAGAGTTGGGGGTGTTCAGCCTGGAGAAGAGAAGGCTGCGGGCAGAGCTGAGTGCGGCCGGTCAGGGCTTAAAGGGGGCCCAGAGGAAAGGGGGGGACAAGCTTTTTAGCAGGTCTAGCTGGGACAGGACAAGGGGGGGGGATGGCTTTAAACTGAACCAGGGCAGGTTTAGACTGGACCTAAGTAAG